AGTAGCTAATATAGCCAACGACATCGTCATCGTCATCGTAGCTTTAATATAACCAACGATATCGTTCTCGTCATCGGGTAACTAATAGAGGCCAAGCGATATCGTCATACGTTATCGTCGAGGGCCTGAACATAGAGCTGCGAGGGCTGCAGTCGTTAATCGTCAATTTGTCGCTAATTAAACTACAAAACAGTTGCTGGGATGACCATCATCATCATCATAGGTCAACGTCGCTGACGTTATGGCCCAAACACACAGACAATCATCACTATCATAGTCATCGTCACTAAGCACCAGGTCAGCACGATCATTCATGCGATTAATTACCTAGCGGTGTACTTACCCTTGCAGGTTGCTAAAATACACGGGGGATGCAAGGAGATGAGTTTCACAGGCACATATACAGTATCTCTCGCATTTGTTCTTGCTGCTCGGAGCCGCACCATGCTAGGTTATACCTGTCTTACCGTCTGATGCGCGACTGACCCGCAGGCACCGATAAACCGGCGAGTTTCTTAACCGTCTCTTCGCCTGGGCTATCTAACCTACCCAACACACTCATCCCACTCACATCTCCGCGCCCCTCTTCGCTTCGCATGTGAGTTAACGTATTTAGGTGTGCCTACGAAACGCCGCAACGACACACTGTGGGTATGGCCACACGGGGAGCACGCGCGGTCCGTACTTCGAGGGTTAGTCGCTCTTGTCGCGCGGTGCCCAGGCTGATCCGGGTCGACGCGAACTATCGCACGGGGCGGGTAAAGGCGCGTGCAAGCCTGGTCGGTCACCGCAGCCCACATCGCGCGCGCAAATGTATCCCAGGCTAGCTGTAATCCCAGGAAAAGCGGCCGGGTCCTTCCAGTACCACTAACGTCTGAGTGCATTTATTTGAAAAGGCACAACAGTCAAAGATGTACTCAGGCCACAACCCCTCGACAGCAACGCCACTCTACCCCAATGAACGAACATCCCCACCGTCGATCAGTAGGGTGGACCTTCGCGCTTTCCCCTGCTCGCGCCAGTCTACTCCACCCAGTGCACACCACCATCTCTCCGTACGAACGGGAAGCCTGTCTTCTGTGTAGTACGTTGCATAATCCTAAATTTTGGCATCCGATTGCAACGGGCTATAGCTAGCATCGGGCGCTCGCCTGACCTCAGCTCTGCGGTCAAAGCCAGCGTCCAGTCTCTTTCAGCCTCTTATCTAGCCGACCAGGGCCTTGTCTACTCCTACAATCTGTCCGGGTTTATTTCTTGCCTCGCACCACCCTCTTACAACACAGCTAGATTGACTGTATCGTAGTCACACCAGTCATCACATGGATACAGTATATATACCCCCTCGCAGTTAGCTCGAATTCATTTTCCTTACTCTCGGCATAGAGATGTTAACATGTTGAACGATGTAATCGCGGTCGTGTATGTCGCGGAACAGCACTCGCTTCACCACCCGCTGCCAAATCAAAGAAATGGATGTGACTGAAGATCCAATACGCGACTAAAGCTGTTTCTAAGGACCGCTCAGACCGGTGCTGAAACCCCATAACAAACATTAACCCAACATGTCTAGACAAAGAGTAATGGGTCCGTGAAAGGAAATATGGCGCAGTGAAATATTGTATACAAGTTAATAGTAAAGCCGCATTGCGCTCCTATTTTTACTCGTGAATAAATCGTATCATCGATACAGGTACACGGAATTAATTGATAATCATTCAGTATATATAGTTAAGCCTAGTTATATATGAAATACAAGGTAAACTAGAAAGAATGAAAATACAGTTATTCGACTATTGAATGCATACAATTTAAGCAAGTATACAATGCCTGTTATAAAATACTATAGCAGACCGTGTATTATAAATTGAGTCGCCAATATCTTTGACGATGAAACAGTCTAGTAAATATAACGTAGAGTACAATACAATACAAACAACACGATGAAGGCAAGAGGTTCGAAAAGATGAATTTAAATGAGTAGATTATTGAAATGAACAGGTACGGCATAACATGATAGGTTATATCGATCGCACGAACTGATCTAGACATTAATTGTTACCTATATATACCTAACTATATTTGATACGATCGTGATATTGCTATAGACCCTCAACAACTACTGCCCATGGACATCATGTGTGTCCGTCAGCACCGCATTATTGTCAGCGCTATAGTGCCGGCTCACTTTATACGTACGATACACGCTGGATTATATCAGTGGATCATTGGATTACCGGCTACTGGCAATCTGAAATCATTGTACTCCCCCCGCACTAGCCGTTCGTGTAATGGCTCTCTTCCGCTCGCTATATGCCTCGCCCGTCCCCTCTCACTAGGCCATTGTTTCAGCCAGTCACTTATATCCCTGAAGCCTCCATATATATATGATTATATCCCTATAATAGATATATATATTAGTCGCCACGCCGCGCCGGGATTTTGAACCTTAAGCTCTCTCAGTGATACTATTGAGGCGTGTGGATGCCTGAGACGATGAGCAAGACGATGCTCTACGTTGGCACCCCACTGATCGGTCGTAACGCAGAATGTAAGAGGCAAAACTGATTAGACGGTATTTTTGTCAAGTACTGTGAAATATTAATGGATGCAAGAGTTGAAAAATTATTGGCCGATAGTTTTGTAAATTAACTGTCATTATTCGCTCTTGTCCAGGAGAATGGTGGCTCATTTTTGGTAGTCACTTAATAATTTTTATGGAGTAATATTGTGTATGAACATGAAAAGGACATTTAAGAAAAAATTAAGGCAGACTGGCTAAAAGCTATAGCCTACTAGTACAGAGAGATGTCACACAAGTCCTGGCTGAGTCTAGTAGTTGACATGAAACCTGCACGCAGACGACGTACGCAGGTTATCTGGGGCAGGTCAGGATGTAGCCTCAAGGTGCTCCATTCACATAAATTCTGTAGCCCCTTAGATTTGATCAATCTCCTCTACTAAATGGGGAAAATTGTAGTTATGTAGTGATTGATTTATCTTTTGATAAAATAATTATCCAATTCATGGCGTCAGCTGGAATCATGGCCATGCGTGGGCAAGCTAGGCACCTAATTGTCATCAACAATGAGTATATTGTCACTACATGCATATGGTCTGCCTCCCACCGTTCTCGCATCGCTCATTCTATCACCCCTCCACCCGCCGGCAGCGGGTCAACACCATTTAGCATCTCCGCTCAGCGATCCACACCGGCGCCCACCCTGCTGCTGTACATTCAGCAGTGGCATGCAGCATTAGGAGCCAACGAAGCAAAACCAGCAGTGATAACATCAACATAAAACAGGGGTGTTTTGCACTGATAATATAAACGAAAGCCTATACTCCTGGCAGTCTCGCTGAACCGCTCAAAGACTGCCCTGCATGTTGGCCGGCCTTTCTCCATGGATATAACGCGGGGTTGGGGGTGGTCCTCCTCGTTCACGCCACTACAAGGAAGTTCTTGGGAATTGTTTGTGTGCCAGATGCCCGGGCATCTGGCCAGTCAGGCGCCATTCTGCAGCAGGTGAGCAGTGGAGATACGGCTTGTAAAAAGAGGAAGTGCTCCCCTCCGCCCGCACAGACCAGCGCTGACAACCTACCCAATGAATCGTTTCCTTGGCACGCCGCTCTCACATTCTCGCTCCCATCTCAGTCCTCTTCACTTATCTAGGCCGTTTCGAACACGAGTGTTTTACAGGCGAAACACAACGTGGTCTTTCCTTCACGTCAATCCAGCTCTTGTCTGCTCCTGGCCCGTCGGTACCATCGTATTCCCCCAGCTGGGTAGTACTTTCGCTGCATATCCTGCCCACTCACGCCATTAAGCCGCGCACTCGGATACACCCCAGACCCCCTCGTCTACTTCTTCGCGTCGTCGCGCGGCCGTCGCACCTCCCGGTGCCTAATGCGCACGACCGCGCCCCCTACGATTGCTACTCGCACTTTCAGCTACGCCACACGCAGCTGACAGCCACATAGCTTAGCCCAATCTAAACGCTGACCGCCACGCCAATCCTCGTAAGCACCCAAGTCCCTCATTGTCAGCGAAGCACTGCGCCACAGCCTCATCGTGCTTGTCTCACACCCCCCCATACAGTGTGCATTGGTAATGTAGCGTGTGAGTTACACCCCAGATTTAAATGAACATAATTTAGAGTAAAATAATCAAAGACGAATATACACTTCTCGTGCTCTCACTAAAAGAATATATTGTTTACACAACTCCATACAGCCCGCTCCTCTACACGCGTACACCGCTACCATACTCAGAATCCAGCATTCGAACCCCCTCCTGCTCTTCAAACTTTCTACTTTATATGCAAGCCTCCACCCAATCATACTCATTTTCCAAATTCTCGCTCGACAATGCACACACCAATCTGCCTATAAGCTGTTGTCTACTAAAAACCATCCGCATACACCTGAGAACAATATATACCACTATATATTATATTGTTTCTCAGCCAGCACATACGACCCCGGCCATACCCCGCCATACCCTGATGAAACAATATATATATTTGATTCTCAGTCAGTTCGTTGTTCCATATATATATATACTTGCTTCTCCAGTCAGTCGTTGTTATACTATACCACTAGTAATTCCGTTTCTCCGAGCCGCATAACCCCGCATAACACCGCCATACCACCCATGAGCAGAGCAATAATATATCTGCTTCTCAGCCCCACATAACCACACATATCGAACCTGCCGATTTGCAGTCCCTGTCTAGACTAATATTCCCTTAAAACTAACACGCGGTCTACATCCGACACGCAAAGTACTAATTTGTAACCTACATGCTATCTACTGCACCTAACGCCCACC